AGACTAAGTAGCGATAAGCCATTTGATTGGTCGTGACATTGGAACATAACATCTCTGCTTTTAATTGAGGTAGAATGTTTAAACTTGATGTAGATGTTCATTAGGTGAATATCTTAAGTTCAATGATTAACATTTCGAGCTAACGCTAAGCAGAGCTAAGCAATTTCATTGGTCGATGCTTTGGGACAAACTAACTTTGATTCTATCTGACAGAGAGTGATGAAACTTAGTGTATAGTTGATAATCAGTTTGATTGCTTGATACTTTTGAAAAAAATAAATGTGCTATTATTTAATATGTCTCATCTATTTATTTTGGGATTTCTGCGGGGAACATCAGCCTCACAGTTGGCTTGTTTAATTTCAAATGACAAAAGTTATACTCCGATGTTTATGAATTTTATATGCATTGTTTGAATTAGTAAAACGAAAAAGCCGGTCAAATTTCAACAATTTCTGTAAATTACTTCCAGAGTTAAGGCCCGCGTTTCAGTTTGTAGAACCTTGTGAACTATCAAACGACGAAACTTATAATCTGATCTGTATGAAATTGTCTTGTAAATCAATGCACCAAATTACCTACAAAAAAATAAATGTGCCACAACCCTTGGACGATTTAGCTGCTGTGGGCGTATGTTTTGTTGCCTGGCAACCTATCTTATAATTGTTTACTTGTACCCCTTATTTCTCAGTGACTATAACAGGGAAACCATGTAGTGGTTACTTGATAAACTACTTTTGAAAAATCTGCTCAGACCAGAATGGTCGAAATGGGCAAAATAAAATATCACCTTTTTTGAAACAAATGACATTTTTGGAAAACAAATTGTTTAATCCTTCCTGAGCTAACCACTTCATACCCATTGAGGGCTATGCAAATATTGAGTAAGAATCAAGCTTTAGACCCTGTTGTGAAAAACCATGCATACCATGAATATGAATTCGACCATAACCGTAAAATTGCAGATGTATATCCATTGTATACGATTTTTATACGCCCACATGGAAATGTGGTTGTATATTGCCGTCCGCCCGTCCGTCTGTCTGTCTGTCGGTCCGTCTGTCTGTCGGTCCATCCATCCATCCATCCATCCATCATCCACAATTTCTTGTGAACACTCTACAGACTACATTTATCATCTGATTGTTTTGAAATTGATATATGTTGTTTGCATTATTGAGATGAAGAAGCCTTTTTAATTTCAATAACTTCCGTTAATTTCTTCTGGAGTTATGGCCCATGTTTCACTTTTTTGTACCTAACGACAAAAGTTATCAACCGATCGGTAAGAAATTTATATGCACCATTTAAATTAGTAAAACAAAGAAGCCTATTGAATTTTAGCAATTTCCGTTAATTACATCTAGAGTTATGGCCCTTGTTTCACTTTGTTGAATATTTTGAATGCTCTAATGACAACGGTTATCATCCAAACTGTTTGAAATTGATATGCATTATTTAAATTAGTGAAACGAAGAAGCCTATTGAATTTCAGCAATTTCCTTTAATTATGCCTTGAGTTATGGCCCTTGTTTCACTTTGTTGTAGAGTTACATCTAGAGTTATGTCCCTTGTTTCACTTTGTTGAATCTTGTGAACGCTCTAATGACAACAGTTATCATCCGATCTGTTTGAAATTGATATGCGTCATTTGAATTAGTGAAAAGAAGAAGCCTATTGATTTTCAGCAATTTCCGTTTATTAGGCCGGGAGTTATGGCCCTTGTTTCACTTTGTTGGACCTTGTGAATGCTCTAGCGACAAAAGTTATTATCCGATTTATATGAAATTTATTTGCATCATTTAGATTAGTAAAATAAAGAAGCCTATTGAATTTCAGCAATTTTCGTTAATTACATCTAGAGTTATGGCCCTTGTTTCACTTTGTTGAATCTTGTGAACACTCTTAATCACAACAGTTATCATCCTATCTGTTTGAAATTGATATGCCTCATTTAAATTAGTGCAACGAAGAAGCCTATTGAATTTCAGTAATTTCCGTTAATTACGCCGTGAGTTATGGCTCTTGTTTCACTTTATTGTACCTCGTGAATGCTCTAACGACAAAAGTTATTATCTGATCTGTATGAAATTTATATGTATCGTTTAAATTAGAAAAACGAACACGCCTTTTTGAATCTTGTTGAATCTTGTGAACGCTTGAACAACAAAAGTTATCACTTAATCTGTATGAAATTCATATGCATCATTTAAATAAGTGAAATGAAGAAGCCTATTGAATGTCAGCAATTTCCGTCAATTACTTCTAGAGTTATGGCCCTTGTTTTACTTTGTTGCACCCTGTGAACGTTCGAACGACAAAAGTTGTCATCTGATCTGTATGAAATTTATATGCATTATTTGAATTAGTAAAAGGAAAAAGAAAAGCCTGTCGAATTTCAACAATTTCTGTAGTTTACTTCCAGAGTTACGGCCCTTGTTTTAGTTTTTAGAACCTTGTGAACCCTCAAACGTCGAAATTTATAATGTCATCTCTATGAAATTGTCTATTGAATTCCCCTAATTACCTACAAAAGAATAAATATGCGACAACCCTTGTCGACTGCTTGGACGATTAAGCTTCTGTGGGTGTATGTTTTGTTGCCTGGCAACCTATCTTTGCATATATTTGTAGGGTTTTTTGATACGCCCACATGGAAGACGTTGGTCTGTCCATTTGTCCGTCCGTTCATGCGTCATCCACAATTTCTTGTGAACACTCTACAGACTACATGTATCATCTGGTTGTTTTGAAATTGATATATGTTAGTAAGATGAAGAAGCCTCTTTCATTTCAATAATTTCCGTTGATTTCTTCTGGAGTTATTACTCTTGTTTTACTTTGGTGCTCCTTGTGAATACTCTAGAATGACAAAACTTATCAGCTGATATGTATATGGCTTACAAAAATCCCATCCACGTTTTAAAACATACATATTTTCATGTGGACGTATATTGTCGTCGCCCCTGTCCGTCCGTTCGTCTGTCCACAATTGTTTGTGAACACTCTAGAGCTCACAATTTTTATCCGATTTCATTGAAACTTGAAATATAGGTTTATCACCCTAAGATCTCGGTTCCTTTCGATATTGGCATGTATCGGACTGTAACTCCATGGATTATGGCCCCTGATTGTTCGAAAAATCATGTTTTTAGCTTGTGAACACTGTAGAGGTCACAAGTTTTATCCGTTTTGGTTTAAACTTGAAATGTATGTTTATAACTCACAGATCTCGGTTCCTTTCGATATTCGCGCATATCGCACCATAACTTCCTGAATTATGGCCCCTGATTGTACGAAAAATCACGTTTTTAGTTTATGGACCCTACAGAGGTCACAATTTTCATCCGATTTTGTTGAAACTTGAAAAGTAAGTTTATAACCCAAAGATCTCAGTTCCTTTTGATATTCGCGCATATCGGACAGTAACTTCCGGAATTATGGCCCCTGGTTGTACGAAAAATCACGTTTTTAGCTTGTGGACCCTATAGTGGTCATAATTTTTATCCGATTTACAAAAATGTTTTAGTATATCACTCTTACACCCTAAGGATGGTTGAGTTCGAATTTCGTTAAAATCGGACCGAAACTGACAGACAAAATGGCCGCCCCTCATAATAGCGTTAAAATATGGTATATCAAGTTTGTGGATCCTCTAGAGGTCACAATTTTCTTCTGATTTTGATGAAACTTGAAATGGAAGTTTATAACCCAATATTATCGGCTCCTTTCGATATTTACGCATATCGGACCGTAACTTCCTGCACGAAGAATCGCGATTTAAGCTTGTGGTCCCTCTAGAGTTAACAATTTATATTCAATTTAAAAAAAACGTTTGAATATATCACCGTTACACCCAAATGATGGTTGAGTTTGAATTTTGTGAAAGTCGAACCAAAACTGCCGTACAAAATGGTCGCCCCCTCGTACGCTAATAGTATAAAAATATGGTATATCAAGGTTGTGGACTCTTTAGGTCACAATTTTCACCCGATTTTGAGGAAACTTGAAATGCATGTTTATAACCCAAAGATCTTGGTTCCTTTTGATATTCGCGCATATCGGGTCTTAACTTCCGGAATTATGGCCCCTGATTGTATGGAAAATCGCTTTTTTAGCTTGTGGTCCCTCAAGAGGTCACAATTATTACCTGATTTAAAAAACCGTTAGAATATGTCACTGTTACACCGTATTGTTGGTTGAGTTCGGATGTCATGAAAATCGGACCAAAACTGCCAGACAAAATAAACATACCATAAGGATCTACATATTTGTTGTATTGTAATAAACACAAATGTGAAGTTTTGCTAAATTTTTGTACCTTACCATATTTTATTGATATATAACTCCTGCGAAACATTAATCGTATTGATTAGAATTCATAAGATGAATATATTTTGATAGTATTCAACATACCCTAATGGACATTAATACTTAATTGTAACAATTAATAACAAAAGCGTCTCAAGAAAATTGTTTCTATTAAAGAATATTTTATCATATTGACAATCATATGCAAAGTAATAAAGCGTAGTAGTATTTCTAGAAATGTTATGTTTAGATAGTATAGTAATACTAAATATTAATGAATTATGTTATTTTATGTAATAAGGAAATATGCATAGATAATATGAATACATTTATTAAATTTTGTGTAGAATGTAATTGCATTTTATGCTATCTAGCATGTAGGTAAGATTGATTTCAATGTCTACAAAGATATTCAAATCAGTATTGTTGCACTTGTATGTATAGATGTTTTCCGCTTGTGTGTCATATTTGTCTCCTGGAACAATTTTAATATATCAGTTCATTCAGGGTCCTAGTCAACACAAATAATTGCTGTTTTGTGCTGAAGTAAAGAGGCCAATAGTGGACAATTACATTTGAATTCTCAAAATACGTTAGTTCACAACAATCTAATTACTTTTATATTTTAAATCAATTAAGATCTTGGCAGATCAATAATAATAAGGTTGTATGAGTTTTTTATACCACAGCTTGTAGTTAGATAACAGACATAGAAACATCTCATCTCTGATGCCCAACGGTACTACTATCTGGTCATCAACGCTAGAAACTACAAACCCCAATCATTATAAATGGAATATGCAGAAGGGAAATTAAAGGACATATATGATGCCAAACAAAGGTTTGCTGCTGATCAGAAATAACTAGATGGCCCTGTATTCAGAATACATGTACAGTTTTTAAAATTACCCGGCATATCCACAATATGTAATCTAGTGGATATGAATTTATTGACCAGCAACAACATTAAAATCAATTTATTACTAAAAACAATGAACAAGATGATGTGCAATTCTTTAAGATAAAATAATATATCTGTAATGAAATTTAATCTAATTTATATGACCTGGTTGTTAAGACACTAATCTCTAATTGTTTTAAGTTTAATTAGTTACCCAATAAAAGATCATTAAAATGTTTCCACTAGTGTCTTTAACTTAACCATTAATTTTTTTATTTTTTACAGATTTTCAAAAAAGGTGCATATATTCAGATAGCTGAGTTAATTACGATTCTAACGATGTATAATATCTATTGAGTTTTTAAAATTTAATTTACGATATTTTGACATTTGTATACACCCACATTGACATTGCGTCGTATATGACGTCGCCCCGTCCGTCCTGTAAACATATCTATATTTCATTTACTGTTTATTGGAAAGTCAATCCATAATATAAGATAATCCAATGTCAAGGTTATATAGTATTTTCCGTCGTTGTTCGTTACAAGCGCACGTTGTTAGCACTACTAAATCTTATGTTGTAAAAGTTATGCCATAAATAAACCATAGTCCACTCTAAGGATTTGGTTTTCATAGAACCTAACAGGAGAATAACTATACATGGTGTCAGAAGTGAGCATTTATTTACTGGTGTAAGTAGATTTGTGTGATGATAAAAGAATTCTATGAGATAGGTCGACGGTACGGCAACGAAAACTAAAATAGCGGCAAGTTTGGCTCAGACTGCATATTTAGACAAAGGTCCACCAATCCGTTGGTTGAAGGATGAGGGATTGTATTCCAGGTATAAGATTTGTAGACAACAATGCAAACTTTTGTTTACTGGTCCTATGAATAAACTTGAAGAAATATCAAGTGTAAATATTTGTTGTTTTGGTCCGGTGAGTTCGGGTTAGAACTTTTTAACAGTTGAAATCTTTCAGAAGCAGATCAAAAACGTCTTGAAAACTACTGGTTAAAGTTCGAAGAGTTTGTTAAACCCCAGTCTAATGAGTTAATGGCTTCGTGGGAACTTCATGTTATTAAACAAGGCAACTTATCTTTAGAAGAATTTATAGCCAAGTTACGTTTGTTGTTAAAGTAGCTAAGTCTCTAACTCATTATCATCCAAAATCTTCAACATCGAAAACACGATTTATTTGTCATATTAAATCAACATTCATGTTGTGATCTTACCGGAAAAAAGATGGGCTTTTGATATCCAATATTTCAGACAAAATAAACATTTTACCATTGGTACACGAATCGTGTACCATACTGCGCTTCAGCCCCAGTTGTATCAAGAGACTCGAGGGACGAGGCTATTTTTGCACCAAATCAAACGGCGTATGTAGACTGGAATAACCAGACGCTAGAAATTTGCACTCGCTTGAGACTGCTGGCTTATTTCGCCGAACATAACTGATTTGAAATTGGAGTAAAAACGGAAACCATTGAATGTAAATCAGTTTATATACATTCATATTACAGTATTATATGCGTTGCGACCCACTTTGGTCAATTTCTAGGTCCCAAATGTTAGCGATTTAGCTCCTTTAAAAGAAGCAAATTACCCACCTGGGTATTATGATCGTTTTCTATGAGATTATCTTGTTTTCGGAGTTAATTCTGATAGAGTTAGAAGAGAGTGTTTGAAAATTGGTAATAATATTAACTTTGAAAAAGTTAAAAGTATGGCCAAGGCTGAAGAATCTGCAAACAAAAAAAAAATGTCAATAATCAAGAACAAATTGAACGAAAAAGAAACATCAGTTTCACCAATAATAAGTTTAAAAGAAGTCCATGTTTAGTTCTAAAAATAAGTCAATGTCGGGTTTCACCGGTGCCACGTTACCCTTAAACATATGTCACTTCCGGTACCGATGAAACCATTAAACAGGTTTCCACATAAGCATTGCACACATCAAATAAAATGGACGGAGAATCAACCAAATCCAGAAATATCAATTCATTTTATAAATTTGTTACATGTAAGTAAATGTTCAATTAGTTTTATGAAATCAGAAATGGCAAAAGGCATCACATGGTGAAAATTTTATGTAAATCGAATAATAATTGTCACTTTTATAGACCAAAAACCTTGAAAAGTGACTTGTAGAAAATCGTCTATTTCTCTGCAACCGTACAGGTTAGAAACCATTTTTTGGTATCTGTATGATCGTGTGGGATCAATCTATTTGTTGATTGGAATCAAATATCATAATTTTAAAAACAATACAAATCAGACTCATTTGAATAAAATATCTGTTTTGAAGGCTAAAAATACAGTTTTTGCCAAAATGACGTTACTTGTCTCTGGCTATCTCAAAATGTATCAAATATTACAATCCGACAATTATTGATAACATTGCGGCAAAATTTCGAAAAACGACAATTTCGGTGATTTCGGACATCTCGCATTGTCGCAGAACGTTAGAAATAGCTTTGAAATTTAAGTAGTTTCTGAGATATGCTCAAATGGAAAAATAATAATAATAACTAGACCTGCAAGCAGCACTGAACCGGCTTTCAGGAATCGGACAGGAAATGTGTCATACAATAGCCCATTTATCGAGCTACCAAACGATACTTTAGATGTTTTGATCCGGTCATACCCGACGGTGAAATCCCGATTGTTGCAAGAGCACCGACTTTTATACTGTCTTTTTTTTTTTAATTATCGAATATTTTTTTGACTACTTCCTGTTTACGGATCATTATCGGGATAGATTTAACAAGTGGTATGGGAACTTAACTTCCTGTACCAGAAGTTTTAGAAAGAACCATTGGACAGTTTTACCGGTATGCGCAGAAGTTTGAAAAATAGTTTATCCAGTAGCCACCACATGGTTTCCCGATAGAAAACTTGGTTCCAGATCAATATCTGTTTCCGATCATGGAGAAATAGGCTCCCGCGGAAAAAAAATAATAATAACTAGATCTGCATAGCAGATATGAAAGCTTTCATATTAACTGCAAAGGGGGTTATTAGAATCTATTGAAACAATAAGTATAAATGTCATCAGGTATCTGAAAAATTACATTTACCTTATGAACAAAATGGGAAAAATACAAAACAAAAATTGTCGACTTGTGGCTACTTGTGGCAGGACAGGAATTAGTTGTGCTTCAATGTAAACCGGCCCGTTTCTTGCCTTTAGTTTTAGAGTTAGGTGTGATTTTCAAAAGATTCAATCGGAAATCGCTGAAAATCAATTGGCTTCTTCATCTCATGACCTTAAACACTGTATAAATTTAAGGTCAATCGGATATTGAATTTAGCTTCTAGAGCGTCCACAAGATTTTTTAAAGTGATCAAGGGCAATAACTCTCACGGTAATTATCGGAAATGGCAGTAAATATCAGATATCGCTGAAAATCAATACTGTAGGCATCTTCGTGTCATGACCATAAATTTAGAGTCAATCGGATATTAACTTTGGCCTCTAGAGCGTCCACAAGATATTTTGAAGTGATCATGGGCCACAACACTGCGCATAAATTTAAAGTCAATCGGATATTAACTTTGGCCTCTAGAGCGTCCACAAGATATTTTGAAGTGATCAGGGGCCACAACTCTGGCAGTAAATATCAGATATCGCTGAAAATCAATCGCCTACTTCGTCTCATGACCTTAACCACTGTGTATAAATTTAAAGTCAATCGGACATTAACTTTGGCCTCTAGAGCATCCACAAGAATTTTTTTAAGTGATGAAGGGCCATAACTCTGACAGTAATTATCGGAAATCGCTGAAATTCAATTTCAATGTGGGCGTATAAAAATTAACCGATGGCATATAATATTTAATGTATGATAAAGACAAAATAGTCGATTTCGGTTTTTGGTGTTGCGCTCATTTTAAAAAAAAATGTCTTTTACGGATAATGTCTAAGTACTAATAGCAATCACATACGGAAGAGGCGATAAGATCCCTTTGCATTTGGAATTTCAAAATTAATTAAAACCAAATTTAAATTCCGAAAATCGGTTGTTTATTTTTTGCTGAAACTCCTTTTTTTAATCTGATCAAAATGGGAGTAAGTCACAGAGTGGTAATTGGCATATTGTGTCCAAATTTCATGGTTTTGGGACAATCGGTGCCGGTTTCGTGGCGAAATTCCACTTTTTTCGCCCTTACAGAAGCCGTAAATGGCGGAAAAAAACGAACGGCAGGAACCGTGTCAAGAACAAACGATCTGAACGAATGCAGGTATCGCCTTGAAGTTTTCAGTGCACCTAGGTACCAACGTGAAAAGTTCCTCGCCGGAATTTGGTAGTCAACGTACCTTTGGTTCCAGCGTGGCACATGCGCGAAGCAAAAAGAAATTACGGTCGATTTTGGGATTTTGGCTATATTTCGGAGTGGTTTGGTAGATGACGGTGGATCAGGGACTCAGATTGATCTAAAATGGCGATCATAACACAACATGATAATCACTTTGAAGTATAGGTAAATTTTCGCGACCGGGTTGTTTTGCTCTACCCAGGCAACGTTCCTGTGCTCCGATTGCCTTCAAATTTGCACAGAATGTACCTTGGGATTCTAGCTATCACATATTAAAAATAGAAGAGTGTTGGATTCCGATGGGATTCTAGCTATCACATATTAAAAATAGAAGAGTGTTGGATTCCGAGAACGTTCAAAATAAATTCAAAACCCACCCCCAACAATCAAAGGTTTTTTGCTTAAAAAATTGCCGTATTTTATCGAATTTTTATTGTTCTTGATATCTGAGGATTTTCTCAATTTAATATGTGATAAATATCATCGCGGCGCAGCCAACCGCTAGAAATTCCAGAGATTTGGACCACCGGAAGGATGCCTCAGCAGTCAAAAAAGGTCAAAATAGGCGATTTCGGTTTCTAGTGTTGATACATCGTTACGGTCATTTTAAAAAATTGTCTTTTAAGGATAATGTGTATAGTACCAATACCTATCACATAAGGAAGAGGCGATAAAATCTCTTTGCATTTGCAATTTCAAAATTAATTAAAACCAATATTAAATTCCGAAAATCGGTTTTTTGCTAAAACTCTTTTTTTTTAATCGGATCAAAATGGGAGTAAGGCACAGAGTCCGGGGTGGTAATGGGCGTATTGTGTCCAAATTTCATGGTTTTCGGACAATCGGTGCCGGTGTCACGGCGAAATTCCACTTTTTTCCCCTCATGGAAGCCGTAAATTGACTTGAAG